AGGCATGGTCCAATGTAGACCAAAAAGTGAAATAAATATTGACCAAATGTCTGCCTCAACTGTACAGTGGAGGAACAGGTGATTGATTGTTTCATGATTGCTAAGGAACATATGGCATCTGTTGGCTAGTTGGAAACCCCTTCTGAGAAGGTTATCCTGAGTTAGACAAGCACCCTGTAGAGTTATCCAACAGAAACCACTGACCTTAGGGGGAATTTTTATCTTCCAGATCACTTTCCATGGCCACTGGTCAATCAAAGCTTTGTTAGAGCTCAAGTTGTAATAGCTTCCTTTGACTGAATAGGAACCCCCTCTACTGTTGCCCCATTTAAGTTTGTCTCTGTCTTGGTCGTTGATGGAGATGTTCTGGAGGCTGCCAAGAAGAGCTAGCAAATCCTCTATTTCCCAATCATTTAGGTTTCTTCTTAATCTTGGGCTCCAAGTGTTCTCCTCCCAGTTTTGGGCAACTGTAGAGTTTGGGTTAGTTGCAACTGAAAAAAGTGTTGGGTAAGCGTCCTTCAAAGTACTTTGACCATACCAAGGATCCTTCCAAAATAGGATTGTGTTCCCCACTGCCAACCTGGAGAGTTGTATTAAGAGTGAAAGTGTTCCACAGCTTCCTGATACCCTTCCAAAATAGCTGGGCCGGTTTCCGTAGAAGAAGAAAGCAAAAGGCGTGGAAGTTCGCCCCGTTAGCTCTCATGTGGATAGTTTTGGGGGGAGAGAAATAAGAGAGCTTTTGAGGGGATTGAGTCTCCTTTTTCACATCTTAAGAATAGTCTTTTATCTTTGATCGCTTTTTGGTGCACTCATATAGCCCCTATTTGTATAGAAGATTGGGCGTCTTTTGTAGAAAATCATGTTCTGATGTAAATTCTCTACTTTTTGGTATACTTCTTGTATACGGGAGTTCTCTCCCTTTTGATTAATACAATTTACCTTATCAAAAAAAAAAACCAGTGCATTGTTAATACAGGGTGCTTCATGGAACAAAGCATACAGAGTAAACATATATGAAATGACAGGAAACATGTTTCTTTTTGAATTTCCAAACAGATTCATGGCAGAGCAGATTGTGCAAGGAGACCCACTTTAGCAGATATAAGGCGATGGGCTAGTGCTTCATGGAACAAAGCATACAGAGTAAACATATATGAAATGACAGGAAACATGTTTCTTTTTGAATTTCCAAACAGATTCATGGCAGAGCAGATTGTGCTCCAGCTCACATATGCTTTGTTCCGTATGCTTTGTTCCATGANGATGTCTTTGTTCCCAATTCCAGCAGGCATTTTACAGAGATTGGACAAACTCCGAAGAACATTCATCTGGCAAGGCAATAAGGAGAAAAAGGTCTTCCATTTAGTCAATTGGAAGACATTATGGATAAAAAACAAGGTGGATTAGGATAAGGAATTTGAAGAACCAAAGCAAGGCTCTTAGAATTAAATGGTTATGGAAGTACTCTAAAGAACCCCAATCTTTATGGGCCAAAGTGATCAAAGCAAAGTATGGTGAAGAAAACAACTGGGTGTCAAAAAAAGTCAGTACATCATATGGAGTAAGTGTGTGGAAATCCATCAGAGAACTTTGGCCAATAATGAAGAATCACTCCTCCATAAGAGTGACCAACGAAAGGAACACATCTTTTTGGAATGATAACTGGCTAGGAATGGGAAGCTTAAAGGAAAGATACTCAGATATGTTCGATTTAGCACAAAACCAGCATAAGACAGTCGCTGATATGAGGAGTTGTCAAGGATGAGAAATAGCTCTAAGAAGACAGCTGAATGACTGAGAGATAACAAGATTAACTGACCTCTACAAAGAGCCGGAAACATTTACAGGACTACAGGAAGGTTTGGATTCAATATGGTGGAAGAGGCACAACAAAGGGATTTACCGAGTGAAGGATGCATATAAGATTTTGAATCATGATAATCAACAGGTAGACACATGGCCTTGGAAACATATATGGAAAACAAAGATTCCATACAAGGTAGCCTGCTTCACTTGGCTACTAGCAAAGGAGGCGGTTTTAACCCAGGATAATCTCATAAAAAGGGGAATTTCTCTGTGTTCAAGATGTTTTCTGTGTGGGGAAAATGCAGAAACTGTCAACCATTTGTTTCTACACTGCAAGATTACAGACCAACTATGGAAAATCTTTATTAGTCTTAGGGGTATTTCATGGTCAATGCCATACAGGATTAAAGATGTCATTTATAGCTGGGAGGAAGCTGGAGCTGAAGCAACTAGCAGAGATAGATGGAGGACTGTTCCGGCATGTATTTGGTGGACAGTCTGGAGGGAAAGGAATACTAGATGTTTTGAAGACAGAAGCAATTCACTGCAGAAGATCAAACTCAATTGTATTCTTCTATTTTGTTTTTGGTGCAAACAGATGTACACAGAAGATACATTGACAATCATAGACATACTAGGATCATGCTAGGTCTCAAATTAGAATATCTATAAATTCTCTCTATGTAAATTTGGTTTTCAGTGCAACCTATGTACTGATTTTTATAATATATACAATAGTTACCAATTCAATAAAAAAATACCATGGATTCCTATGCATTAGTTATGCATAGGATAATACCAAATAGGGTGCATAACTAATGCATAAGATCAAAAAGTGTACCAAACAAGGTACTATTATTAATACACAAAACTAATGCATGCATTATTTTATCTAATGCATCCTACCAAACTACCCCTAAGTAAGATAATTTTATTCTCTCTGAAGTTAAGGTGCAAGGGTATGTGTCATCCGAGGGAATGAACTAATCTATGTACTATACCTTATCAAAAAAACTAATATATGTAATATTGTCTTCTTTGTTCTTTACGTTATCTACCCTTTTACTGGCGAGGTCATCTCATTTTTTAGCGTCTTGTTTTGGACAAGATGTATATCGTGCTTTCTAACATGTCCTTCCCTTCTCTGGTTTAGGAATGACTATGAAATGCTATTGGCTCTTGATGAGAACAACCACCAACACGGTGGTGCATCTGTACGACAAATCAACGACTTACCACAGTCAACAGTTCAGGTAACTAGGATCTCCTTGTGTTATTGAATTCTTACCTAAGATTAACACTGTTGTATATCCTTGACATTCTTACTATAGTAAAGGAGCACACATGCAACAGTTGTGCGCAATACAGGCATCCATCTGTTATCCACACTTGGAACATCGTTGCGAGGGTAGAGCATAGATGTTGGTTTGCCTGCGGCTGCTTAAAGCCGTGAGTAGCTGGAATTGCATTGCTTACCCTCTTTGGTTCCTTGCAGAATGAGAGTCTTCAAGAAGCATGTGCAGTTTGTCTTGAAACTCCTACTGTGGGGGACGTGATCCGCCATCTTCCTTGCTTACACAAGTTTCACAAAGATGTAAACTTCTGGATTTTCTTGCTGATTATTTTGTTTTTTTGTCAACGCAACCAAATTTATAACCCCCATTGAACTTACTGCAGTGCATTGATCCATGGCTGAGGAGAAAAGCATCATGTCCAGTTTGCAAGTGTTCGATAACATAACCTGCTTTAGAGATGATATAGTTGGCATGTTTTGGCAGTTGCAGCTAGATTCTGATATAATCTTTTTGTTTCTTTGGAGGTTGATCAGAACAAATGCCTTATTTTGCTATATAGTTTTCTGCAATTACTTTTCTATGCTTATTTTTCTAAAGATGCATAATTTGATGTTACATTTAACGACGGAAAAATGGAATAATTACCAAATACAAATGTTCGATTCTATGAGGAGGTTGATGAGCGCATACTAGTTGTTGGTGTGTACTCTGTACGAAGTAGTCGGATGAAACTTCATTTTGAATTTCCTACGTTCAAAGTTATCTGAGATGAATATGAGTTTTACGTTGACGAATTAGCTATTGAATTGATTAAATATTATAAAATATATCTTTGCATGCCAATTTGTTTTCCTCCACAAAAATTCAAGACCATCATCCATTTGTACTTCCTAATTTTCAGCGAACATGCATATTGGAGGATTATTGCTTGGCGTGTCCCCAAATGAGACTGGTCTTAGCTGAACGTTCTCATAATTAAAGATATTTATTAAATGGACCCCTTCAGCTCCTTTTTCTCCATCTCTTCTCTTCACCAAGAACACCATAATTCTTCAATTTTAGAAACTTAAAATTCTTCTTTGGGGTTGAAAATTCGAAGTTAACTTGAGTGTTGATTATTTATGCTTAAACTTCTAATTTAAACACTAATGTAGTAATTTATTTTTAAGATCTCAAAACTCCATTGTTGGTTTGAAATATTTAATCAATTATAAAGTGTTGAAGAAGACAAAGAAAGTCTTCTTAAATATGTATTATTTGACTAAATTGATAATTGAGGATCGTTTGTGTTAGTGTTTGAAGACTTTGTGTCAAATTTGAGATCATCTGAATTAGAGTAATTTGATCTAAATTAAAACTAAAAAATCGAACAACATTTTATTGAGCAACACATAAAAATTATGCTACAAACTTTAATGAATAATTTAACAGATAGGTCGATTGCTGTGATTACGCCAATCTGCTAAATTTGGTAAACCATGCAAGTAGTTGTTAACTTGTTATGAACAATTAACAATATAGGTAAAATAAATATAGCATCAATTCTACCGGAAAGTCCCTAGAGAGCTGCAAGATTTTGGAGGTTATTTTTCAAATAAATCTAAAAATGGACAATTTTAAAGATGCTCCGTTATAGGGTCATTCCTATCAATCACCCTAATTTTAACTGCTTGTCTCACACACAAAATTGTCTCAAGTCTTTGTAGCAAGACTTCAAATTGGACAAAAAGAAAGGGGAAATTGGAAGGAAAGATGAAATATGACTATTAACTGATCCAACATATTCCCCCAAACACATTCCATTGTTTTCTCCAATGCATAATAAGAACTACTAGAAAAGAGTAGTTTCTTTTATACTACGAATGATCTTTTCTGATTTTGAAGGAGACGAGACATATGGAATACTGAAAAGCAATACATTAGACTTTCGGAATATTGGAACACAAAACATATAAAGCATACCATGAAACACCAAAGCAATTCTCAAAAGTACCAAGGCCAATCCAGCCGACAACTGCAAAACCAATGCAATTTTACAACCTATCTTTTTCCAAGAAAATGTCTCAAAGCTTACTATGATTTATTGTTGTTCCTTCTCTGTAAATATTATTAAATGAAACGACTATCGTGCATCCCTACTGTTTATAGAGCATCTTTAGATAAAAGATTGTGGCTTCCAATTTTTCGCGCATTGCATAGCTCATCACAGGAGTCTCCTCTTTCAAAGACAGCAGCTGCCCCCATTCCAGTGCCTGTTGGGGATTGCAAAAAAAAGTTAACATCAGAAAAAGGTTGATGAGACATTCTATTTTCAGGGTTTTGGGCGCCGAGAGGTGGGAGGGATCAAAAAGGGAGAGAATTGAACATACCTATGCACATGGACACCACACCGAATCGGCAGTCCTTTCCACGACGTTTCATCTCGTGCAACAGAGTTGCAACACATCGTGCTCCTGTTTTGACATAGAGAAGTATCTCATGAGAATGATCATTCAACACGGTACGTTAGCAATCAACACGGTACGTTAGCAAAGAGAAGCCCCATATGTACTCAAACAGGATTGATCTGATAGATTGTTGTTAGAGCTGATAAGATAGAGCAAAAAGGTACCGTCCCATATACCTATTGATCAACTGACTGACGACAAACCACTGTTAAACTCACAACAAAAGGAATGTAGTACAACACATGTTCATACATGAAGCTTATAATTCACCCCCGTGATTATTATTCTATGAAATGATCTAATTTACCTGTAGCACCCAAAGGATGCCCAAGGGCCATTGCCCCTCCGTTAACGTTGATCTTCTCTGGGTCAAGTTCCAGCTTCTTACGGCAGTAGACATATTGTGATGCGAATGCCTAAACAAGAGCCATAATTAAGAAGCTGCACGAAGCGTATAAGATGGAGAGCTGATGAATTTATGTAGATTACCTCATTTATCTCAAAGAGATCAATATCTTCAAGTTCAAGGCCTGCGGACTTGACAGCAGCAGGAATTGCAACAGCTGGGCCAATTCCCATAATAGCAGGGTCTACACCCACGGCAGCAAAGGTCCTGCATGAACACTGGGTGTTAGTTCTCATTTAAGACAAACACCAATAATAGAATAAAGATGCAAAAAGTATACTGTCGTCAGCTGACTAAGGTCAAGGCATGAGAAGGAGGACTCATGACGAAAACCACTAACGTGGAGAAAACCAAAAGGCACTCACTGCAAGTAACGTTACTACAGACCTGAATACACCAAGGATAGGAAGTCCCTTTTGCATTGCAATACTTCTTTTCATAAGAAGTACAGCTCCAGCACCATCAGTGACTTGGCTAGAGTTCCCTGCAGTGAAGAGGAAAACTTTATTAACCAAACTCAAAATTAAAATTACATTACAGACCCAAAGACTACCAAATTACCAGCAGTAGTAGTTCCACTCTTCTTGAACACTGGCTTTAACTTTGCCAAGTCTGAAACAGAGGCATTTGGCCGTATACCATCATCAACAGAGATCGTTACCGGTGTCTCATCTCCGGTTTTTGGATCAACAATCTTAAACAGAAGACAGCCAAAAACGTAAGAGGGCAGTTGATATAGCTATGAATGGATACCTCACTGATTAAAATGCAGACAGGGATATTACCTTTGTGGGTACAGGAATTATTTCATCTTTGAATTTTCCGGAAGCAGAGGCTGCAGCAGCCTTACGATGCGAATCAACCTAGCAACAGAAATAAAAGCGAGATGAGAATATACGCCACATAGACATGATCATAAATTGAGGGGTCTATTTAAACTTACTGCAGCCTGGTCTTGTTCCTGCCTTGTCACACCAAAACGATGTGCTACATTCTCAGAAGTAATACCCATAGGAAGAAGACAGTCTTGAGCTTGTGCCATCATCTTAACCTGAGATCAAATGTTACAGGTTATGCTAATCCTTCCAATAGAACTCATCTCTAAAGAAAATAAGCCTAACAATATAAAACAAAAGAATACATATTTTTCATAGAACAAGGGGCATACTTTTGGGTTGACTGATCCTTCCCAAGCCATTGGGTTTGTGGTCATAGACTCCAATCCGGCACCAATACCTGAATTGTGGGAGATAAGTTGTCCAAACATTAGAAATGAGAGAGAAACCGTATCCATGGGATAGAAGGAAATGGCAACACACCAATGTCATAAAATCCAGCTTTAATAGCTGCAGCTACATCAGCAACTGCTTGAAGGCCTGATGAACATTGCCGGTTTACAGTTCTAACTGGCACAGTTTCTGCTCGAGAGAAGAGAAATGAGCATATATTGGAATAAGAACCTCATACATGAAATGACGAATTTCATGTCATGACGTACTAATAAACCTACCAGGAAAACCAGCATAAAACGCAGCCATCCTGCACTCGCTTGCTCTCTGAGAACCTGGGGCCAACACGGTGCCGACAACGATATCCCCAATTTCACTAGGGCTCACATTAGTCTTTTCCATCAATGCCTATAGAGAAGATTAAAGGAAGACCTAAGGGTAAATATCTTTGTTGATCTTGATTAACATCAACACACGACAAAGCTCAGTGTGACGCACCTTTAGAACTGGAGCAAGTAGATCATCAGGATAAGTATCCTTGAAGCCTCCTCTCTTTGCTTTGCAAAGAGGAGTCCTATATGCACTGCAAGGAACAAAAAGATTCTCACGGTAAGGATAAAGTCCATTGATCCAAGAAAACCACATATATCATATCAATGAGAAGTTAAACAAAATCATGAAAGTATGAAAAAGCAAGAGAACAGTGCAAAGGTGCAAATCGGGTGAACTCAAAAGCTGAATCTAGAGATGGTTATCAACTATAACTACTTACGCGACTATGACGACATCATCTCCAAAGACAGAGGTCCTTTGGTAAGCAGCACTGTCTCCAGCAGAGCATACAGATGCCTGGTTTAAAATTGAGAACGTAAATAACAAAAGTATAATCTATCTCTCTTTTAGGACACCAGATGTTTGAAATTAAGACAAACCTATTCACCACTCAACAAAGTAATGGACGTTGACAGCGGAAGGAGTGTTCAAGAACAAACCAACTAACCGAAAATACCTAGAGACTAGTATAGTATAACAATAAACATGTCACAAACTTAACTGAATATTCCTGTATACTGTAGTGACTAAACATCTAACGAACATAGTTTTGAACAGGATTAAACATAACAAAGGCACATCCACCATCAGACATGAAGGATTTCAGCACTTTTTGTCCCTTAAATATTATCTGCTTCACACAGTCGGATTTAAAACTTCCTCAGATTTTACACTGATCAATCGTAAAAATATTTCCTAATATCTAAAAATAGAACTCAGCAATGAAACTAATAAATCACGCTTTGCGTCCATTTTATACACATGTATTCTTACTACTAATTTGTAAGTTTGTAGACATTCAAGAGAATTGAAGAAAAAGAACAAAGCAAGTAGATTTTACAAAGAGAGACGCTACAACCTAATTGGGAAAGAATGAACTTGAAAAGATTGTCATCCATGATAGGCTTTTCTTTTCCAATTATTTTACTCCTGACTGTTTTTAACTGCGGGCAGAGTCTAAGAAAGAAATACAGACATTTGAAACTTGTCATTAAAAACAAGCCATATAGACATTAGTAGGGCTACAAAATCGTCTCATTAAGGGTATAATCAAGAGTTTAAAGTTCCATTTCTTCTGAATGTAGAAATTTGTCATAATTTTTCTGACACAAAAAAAGAAGTATCACATAAATTGGGATAGACGGAGTATCCATTACAACTATACCAGAGTTCCACTCCAAATAATAAATGAAATTAATAAGTCATCAGATCTGCTGGAAAATAATATTTCTACTAATGGCAAAAAAGCACACGGAATAACTCTGATCTTGACCCCTCCCAAAACATGAAAACAATTAATAACTTCTTATATCCTCAAAATTCAACCATATACCCTCATAAAAACTACTCAACTACCTATCCACCAGTCTCAAAATTTCGCTCAAAACATATACAAAAACATAACTTTAGCTCAAAATTCAATTTACAGATCAAAATCCACCATACCCACATAAAAACAACTCAACGACCTGCCCACAAGACTCAACCTTTTAGCTCAAAACCATACACAAACCCAATAAAACCATGTACAAAAACATAACTTTAGCTCAAAACTTGAATCTTCAGATCAAAATAAAAAAGACCACATCAAAATCAATCAATAAAACAATGGAACAAAACATACCCAATAAATCAAACTGAAATTCAAGAACAAAACAAATTGAATTCAGAATTGAATGAAAACAAGACTTGAACTGTAGCTCAAGACTTCAATCTACAGATCAAAATAAAAAAATATCCACATCCACACCAAACAATCAGGAAAAGAATAATTCAAAAAATACCCAACAAACCAAATTGAAATTCATTTATAGAACAAACTGAATCAAAGGTTGAATTGAAAAGAAGAAACAAAACACAGCCACCAAAAATAGAAAATCAAGAAACAAAAACAAATCAAAAATAGAATTTTGTTAAAAAAGAAAAAAACAAACACACCAAAACACTAAATTGAAATTGGAAAAAAGAACTCACAGCAATGGATGATTCAATATTTTCCAAAGAAGAAGAAGTTTGAGAAGGACGAAGGTGTTGGAGAAGAACTCTTTGTCTCTCAATTGCTTTCTCCATTTGATCTCAAGATTATTTTTTAGTACAAATTACTCTAAAAATTGATTAGGATATTTTTGAGCTAGTTTTCTACTTCGTGTCTGCTTATATAGGGAAAGAGGGTCGGTTTGTGTATTGGGAGTTGCAAAAACGTGAAAGTTTATCTAGAAAGGATGGGTATAATGAAGAATTTCTTTTCTTTTTTTGGTGCAAATAATGAAGAAAGATAAAGTTGGTGACGCTGTGCTGATATTTTTTCCAATTCTGGGGAGGTAAATGACAAATTTTCGCAATTATTTTAAGTCTTCAAACTACTCTTTTCAAGCCACTGACATACACGCGCCAGTTCTCTCGTTTGTAAAAATCTACACGCATTGAAGTATATATCAAATTATTAGAATAAATACAAAATATGTGTCTCATATAAGTTTTTTTTCACATTTAATCATAAAATTAAATAATATATATTTTTAAATATTTTATAGTTAAATTTTAATTATTATTTGTAAATATCACATACAAATAAATATTTTTTTTCTTGTTTGATTGTTACAAATTATTGATAAAATTCTTTTCCAGAATAATTTTCAAGCAATATGTTTCAAATTATTTGGTATCATTTGACTAAAGAGGAATTTAAAAAGGAATTAAGACTTGTAATACATTAATCTTTATGCTCAAATATCAAACGTATCATTTTATATGATGAAAGATGGTTGGTTGATCACAAGTATCAAAAACATCAACGCGATATACGTATAATTTAGAATTTTTGCATATATTTCATCATAATTAAATAAATGAACTTCGTAATTTGTTCTAATTCAAAAGCTCAATTAATTACTGTTAGAGAAATTATAAAAAAAAATGATTCATGCCCATATTTCTATTGGCCGTGTTATTGTGTTTTACAAATTCATCTTCTTCTTTTTCCTTTCCTTGTAATAATTCTAATATTTAGAAGGATAAAAGAAAAGACAGATATATAAATTGAAAGTTGCAACACACGCGCCATTAGGAAGAATGATGAAAGAGGACATAGAGATGCGTGCCGAAGAGAGAAATTAAAACGGGTTTTCCTCATCTGAAAGCTCACCAATTACGTATCTGTCCAGTCGTTAAATTAACGGCTCTGATTTACCAAATTATTTGGCGAACTAATAGATGATGATGATGTTGTGGCAGCTCTTTCTTTTTCATTCACATGGTATTATGAGAATTTTGACCATTTTAGCCGGTCAACTTGATACTTTTAAGTTTTAAAAAAAACGTTAAGAAAGTAATTTTGAAGAAATATTTGCGTAAAAACAAAAAAAAACGTTAAGAATGTTATAAAACCATAAAAGTAGAAGAACAATATTGCAGAGAAAGAAAGAGGAAATCCTTATTGAATTTTGGGATGATTTACAATAAGGTAAGACCCCTTTATTTATAGAGGAAAAATGACTTAGCCACAAAGTAAAACTCTCTACAAGATACACATTCATTCTGAATAGAATTTTATTCATAACACTTCCCCTTAGTGTCTACTCGATAAGTAATGTGCCTCGTTAAAACCTTAACTAAAATAAAACCCAACGGGAAAAAAAATCTAGAAAAGGAAAAAGAGTACACATATCTGATAATACGCCTTTTGGTTGCCTCGTTAAAAACCTTTCAAGGAAAACCCAGTGGGACAAAACCTTGTAAGGGAAAAAGAGTGCAACGCGCATTAACTCCCCCTGATGAAAGCATCAATTCACATCCTTGAGCCTTCACATCCCGATTTTGTACACTAGCTTCTTGAAGGTTGACGTTGGTAGAGATTTTGTGAACAAATCAGTCATATTATCACTTGAACGAATCTGTTGCACATTGATATCACCATTCTTTTGAAGATTATGTGTGAAAATAACTTTGGTAAAATGTGCTTTGTCCTATCTCCTTTTATGAATCCTCCCTTCAATTGAGCTATGCAGGCTGCATTGTCTTCATACAAAATTGTGGGTAACTTGTCACATTTCAAACCACATTTGTCTCGAATAAGATGTATTATAGACCCCAACCACACACACTCTCGACTTGCTTCATGAATAACAATTATCTCGGCATGATTAGATGAAGTAGCCACAATTGATTGCTTAGTCGATCGCCAAGATATGACAATGCCTCTACAGGTAAATACATAACCTGTTTGAGACACTGAGCCTTGTGTGGGTCATATAAATACCCAACATCAGCATAACCAACAAGATCAAGACTTCAATTATTGCCATAAAATAAGCTCATATCGGTAGTCCCTTTTAGATACCACAATATGTGTTTGATTCCATTTCAGTGTCTCCTTGTAGGAGCAGAGTTATATCTTGCTAAGACATTAACTGAAAAAGTTATGTCAGGCCTTGTAGTATTAGCAAGATACATTAGTGCACCAATTGCACTAAGATATGGTACTTCAGGACCAAGTAGCTCTTCATTCTCTTCTTGAGGCCGGAATGAATCCTTATTCACATCAAGTGATCGAACAACCATCGGAGTACTTAATGGATGTGCTCCATCCATGTAAAACCATTTCAATACCTTTTCTATGTAGGGAGATTGATGAACAAAAATTCCGTTTGCCAAATGTTCGATTTGCAAACCAAGACATAATTTTGTCTTTCCGAGATCTTTCATCTCGAATTCCTTCTTTAAATAACCAATTGCCTTTTGGAGTTCTATAAGAGTTCCAATAAGGTTTATGTCATCAATATATACGGCAAGTACAACAAATTCCGATGTTGTTTTCTTTATAGAAACACATGGGCAAATGACATCATTTATATAGCCTTCCTTTAATAAATATTCACTAAGACGATTATACCACATTCGTCCTGATTGCTTTAGACCATACAACGATCTTTGCAATTTGATTGAAAATATTTCCCGGGACTTTGAATTATTTGCTTTAGGCATTTTGAATCCCTCGGGAATTTTCATGTATATCTCATTATCAAGTGAGCCATAAAGGTAGGCGGTAACCACATTCATTAAATGCATGTCAAGATTTTCATGGACTGCAAAACTAATGAGATAACAAAACGTTATAGCATCCATAACGGGTGAATATGTCTCTTCATAATCGACACCAGGCCTTTGTAAAAATTCTTGTGCAACAACGCTTGCCTTATATCTTTGTACCTCATTTTTCTCATTTCTCTTGCGTACAAAAACCCATTTATATCCAACAGGCTTAACACCATTAGGTGTTTGGACTACAGGCCCAAAAACTTCATGTTTTGCAAGTGAATTCAATTCTGATTGGATTGCTTCTTGCCATTTTGGCCAATCAAGTCTTTGTCGACATTCTCCAACAGATTGAGGTTCAAGATCCTCACTTTCTTGCATAATGCTAGATGCAACATTATATGCAAAGACATAATCCACC